ATGTACAACGTTTCGACAAGGTTTTGGGTACCTGATGATGACAAAACCTTGTACATTTGCTGTTATGTTAAACTTATATTAAAGTTTTTCTTCATTACCCATTCAAGCCGTCTCCAACCATTATATTGATTTTAGGTTATCTTGTGTTATACTTAAACGGTAAGAAAGTCATGCATTAACAAAATCACTGTTGTTTTAACACTGGTGAGTTGGGACAACAATGATTTTTAGAAGCTTGAAAACTTTCATTCATTTCTTATAATTAGCATGTTAGAGTGTTTTATGTTAGAAAGGTTCTTGTTTTTAAGATTATAACAAACAAACTGATGTTTCGCTTCCCAGCGGTAACTTCCTTACTGTAATTCCTATCATTAAACATAAACTGCAATAAAAATAAATATTTGTGAATACTGGACATGGAATTTACAAAAGTGTGGGGCCTCTGGTGATTCAGATAGACTATTGTGTAGTTTTGTGCTTAATAGCAAACAAACAAACAAAAATCGTATGTGTCTTATCATGTAGGTTCAACCAAGAGTTCCTCAACCGCTCTACAAATGGCACTCGTTCGTGTGATCCTCAGAACCAGAAACATAACTTTTGAACGTTCTTTTAATCTTAAACGGGTTCGTTTCGCTTCCGCCATTCCGGCTGTTGGATGAAGATGCCGTGTTTATCATAGAGCTTTGGAGACTAGCCGTACGAACACTAGTATTGGTAGTGTAAGTACTCCCTCGCTTCAGACTATATGCTTCTCCATACTGACGGCGCCAGCTTCTTCGAATACACGGCAAGTGAAGGTAAAACTGCCGGAAGCCCGTTCGAAACTTGGAGTTCATCCAACAGTATATGACAGGGTTGTAAGAAGTGTGACTCATAGCCAGCCAGTGACAGACAAACCACACGTACTTGATGTTCTGCACATTCCAAATAGACGGGTCTTGATCCCCTATCACTATCAGAATATTCAGTGGTAGCCAGCAGATGGTGAATACGGACACTACAATAATCATCATCTTGACCATCTAGCAAGGAAGATGAACATGAATTACAAGACAGTATTTAACTGTTATGTATAACACATCAAAAGCTTTGCGTTAATTGAAATATTTAAATATTCATACCTCTAAGTATAAGAAGAATATTATTTTTCCAAATTAACGAAAGTCGTCAGATTATACAATATTTTAGCCAAGCCAATCATGTCTTATAATGATTTTTTGTTTTCAACACTGTGATGGAAAAAGTTGTGAAATGGATGCGATTCTAACTTTTTCGTGAGAAAATGTCTGCTTTTTAACAAGTTGTAATGCTTGGCCTGGTGGTTAGGGTTCTTGACTAGCAATCTGTGGATCCCGGGTTCGAATCCTTGTTACTGAATATGTTTGCCTTTTCAGCCGTGGGGCGTTATAATTTGACGGTCAACCATACTACTAGTTGGTAAAAGAGTAGCTCAAGAGTTGACGGTGGGTGTTGTTGACTAGCTGCTTTCCCTTTAGTCTATCACTGCTAAATTAGGTACGAATAGCGCAGATAGACCTGGAGTAGATTTGCTCGAAATTCAAAAATAAACAAACAAATCCTAATTATTACTAGAGGAAATATTAAAAACAAAAGTGTTTTAAAAACATATGTATTTCTCAGAAAAATCTAACTGTGGCTTTCGGACTGTGTTAGCCACCAGCTGAAACACAAACTATTCATATTAGAAGTAAACAAGAACTTAGTTACCAGTAGTTTGTTTGGTTGGTTTTATTTCATAATTCATCATACTTACAAATAAAAGAACATTTATGGTTGTCGAAAAACATTTATGGTTGACACCTTATCTTAGAACAACGTGCAATAAAATTTGTAACAATTTATTATATGCTGTCCCCATATATTTCTGTCGTCTTTCTATTCGACCATGTCCGAGTAAACCGCGCATTACGGGTAGAGAATCGAATACATAAAATAATATTTTTTTAAAATCAGAGAATGCAAAAAGTAAAAATAGTTGCATATAAACTGATAACAATAAACATTACTAATGACTTAGTCAATTATTATATTTCGTTTATAAAATACTAATGTAAACATTTTTTTTATCAATAGCATTCGAAAATCCATGACTAGGACAAAATTTTACAGATGGTTGAGTACGTTATAGTAAAACGATCCTGAATATGTAAATCAGCCATTAATGTGACAATCACAGCCGATATAAAGTCGTGTTGCAACGGTGTGTGTCAGACCTACATTTTTTATTGTTTTCCGTTTCGCAGTTAGTGTGATTCTACGGAAAACTGATGGCTTTTGGAAAAGGTATGTAACTCCCCTTTCCGACGCAAGATATTCATGTACTTAGACATAAGAATATGTTCAGATTGGAGAATTTGAACCTCCAAGACGAGGATATTTATTGTACTTGATAACAAATTAAAAAACAAAAGAATATAGATCAACTTGGGGGACCCACTATCAGACACACACACAAAAAAAAGATCTGTAACAATTTGCACCCCAACCGTGGTTAGCAATGTGCAGCATCTTGTAACAGGTGAGAATCCACGATAACAAAAGTTAATGGCGAAAGTCGTCCGCGTACCACAGGCAACAGTAATCAACTGCTTTTACGACATATCTGCTCAACCTTCTCGTATACAGTCAGCTGGAAAATGAAACATGCATTCATGATATTCCATACGAAAACATACCGGTCAAGTCCTCAGACACAGCAAATATAAATTTCTGTGCGTTCGGACTTTTGAAAGGGGCAATGGAAAACCATCTTTCTCGTGCACTAGATGGAGTATGTAAAGCACTCAGGAAGTACGATGCGCTTTGGACGTGACAGCTTTATGATGGAGTTTCTGTGACAGCAACTACGCTGAAAGACTATTGTCGAGATAAAGTAAGGCCGGACAGAGCGACAGGAACCGTAACGACATAGTGAATTGGTAATGCTCCAAAATCGTTTTAATATAACGCATTCGACCACTGTATTGTACAAATTATGATTTTCTTTTTACGAAAAATAAAATAAAAAAAGTTAAATTTTTATGGACCATTTTATCAAACTAATTTATGTTTCACTGATTCTCTTTATGTATTACTCAACCTAAATAATTATATATATTTATTTATATAAAATTTGAATATAAGATTATAGAGCATAATTACTAAATATACCCCATATTTAAACTTATTATATCTTAAAACCTGTATGTCTTAGAGGAAATAAATTTCACGAGAGGCACATCAAGAACCATAAGTTTTATTCAGGAAAGTTTGAATACAGTACAGGGCGAAAATGTCACAGAAAATGTGCATTATGCTTTCCGTCAGTCTCAATTAGCACATCAAACCCATCCATAAATGAAGCTACTGCAAGCACCATCTGTTCGGAACAGTGCTTAACGATCGTCGCAATATCTTACAATTTGGCACGCATTTTATTCAAATCACCAATTCTGTATTGTTGAAAAAAAGAGATAAAGAAGAGAAATAAATGAAATGTCAGCGCGCGATAAAATCGATTTAGATATAATATGATTTTGAAATACTCTTGTTCTATGAACAAACTTCCTGATCGAAACGTTTTATTCTTAATGTGAAGTTCCACGCTGGGCCAGCGGTAAATTTCTGGACTTACAATGGTAATTTCCGGGGTTCGATTCCTCACATTGGACACATGAGATAACAGCAAAAACAAACTTAATATGCTGCTATTGAAACTTAGTTCCACTAATACAAGTAGGCTAGATTTTAAGATATAATAACCTTGAACACATATTTAAAACATAAAAAAACCCTTTGTGTATGTATTATAGACTTACGTATATGTGTGTGTGTATAGGAAAGAAATACAAAAAGAAAGATAGAAAGCAAACGAAACGGAATGATTTTAAAACCATTTACAGCCTAACCCAGTCAATAGTTTTTCTATGATCAGGCATTCAACTTGAGTAAAACCAGGATATCACATGAACAACACTGATAACTGCTCATGATACCAATTAAATTTTGTAATATCGTCAAAAAATAAATACTGCTAAGACTACTTACATCTTCCATATTAACCTTCAGATTCTTATGGCAATTAGAAATAACAACTAATATTTCGACAACTTTTCTTTAAAAAAAGAACTCATCATTAGGAATATGAACGTTAAAGGTCTATCTATGGTAATCAGCAGCAGATATGGTGAATAATTGAGATTTTTCTTTATTATTCAAGAATAAAAACATTTAAAATGTCATGCATGACCAAGTGTCTTTGTTCTATTTTTCCTCTACTTCTCCCTCTCTCTCTCTTGGTAAAACTTTATTCATG